AAAGAGACCCAGTGACGCATAGAGAAGCAAAGAGACCCAGTGACGCATAGAGAAGCAAAGAGACCCAGTGACGCATAGAGAAGAAAAGAGACCCAGTGACGCATAGAGAAGAAAAGAGACCCAGTGACGCATAGAGAAGAAAAGAGACCCAGTGACGCATAGAGAAGAAAAGAGACCCAGTAATGCATACAGAAGCAAAGAGACCCAGTGACACATAGAGAAGCAAAGAGACCCAGTGACGCATAGAGAAGCAAAGAGACCCAGTGACGCATAGAGAAGCAAAGAGACCCAGTGACGCATAGAGAAGCAAAGAGACCCAGTGACGCATAGAGAAGCAAAGAGAGCCAGTGACGCATAGAGAAGCAAAGAGAGCCAGTGACGCATACAGAATCAAGGAGAGCCAGTGACGCATAGAGAAGCAAAGAGAGCCAGTGACGCATAGAGAAGCAAAGAGAGCCAGTGATGCATAGAGAAGCACAGAAAGCCAGTGACGCATAGAGAAGCACAGAGAGCCAGTGACGCATAGAGAAGCACAGAGAGCCAGTGATGCACAGAGAAGCACAGAGAGCCAGTGATGCACAGAGAAGCACAGAGAGCCAGTGACGCATAGAGAAGCACAGAGAGCCAGTGACACAGAGAAGCACAGAGAGCCAGTGATGCACAGAGAAGCACAGAGAGCCAGTGATGCACAGAGAAGCACAGAGACCCAGTGATGACATAACTGAGTCTAAAATGAGTTATGTAATGAAAATGGAAATTTTTTTTTCTAATGTTTAATTGGCATGTTGATGAGGAACCAGGGAAAGCCAAACCATGTCGAATATTCTCATGCACACAGGGAAGGACTGACCATTCGGGCACTGCCCGAGGGCCCGGGGGTCAGTAGGGGGCCCCATGAGATGCCCCTGGTACCTTTCATAGGCTTTTTTGGGTGTGGTTTTGAGCGTGGGTGAGGACACAGGGGCCCCATGATCCCCCACTGCCCGGGGGCCCCATGAGTTGTCAGTTCGCACCCTTGCTGTGATCAGAGTTCCTCCGTATATTTTGTACACACAAATACAGTATATACTGTACACACATCAATATGGAGTGTAATCCTCCTTCAGGAACAAAGCGAGCGGATACATTTCACCAATCTGCAAGACAAGCGAGTGTAGGAGGACCCAAGCAACGGCTTCCCTACATCCTCCAGCTGCTGCAACATGACGGTTAACATAGGGGGCGCTAGATCCCGTAATGAGATGTATCCGATTCGCTATACACTGACATTGACACAACGTTTCAGCTCCTCTTCTAGAATTTCATGGTCGGAGTTCACATGCTTTTTGGATCATAAAAGAAGCAGTTTATATCGACCCTCCGCTGGTTGGAGCCGCACCTGACCAGCGACACGTTCGTGAATGCGACGCGTACTAACCGACACGCCGTGGATTTGTCAGCCTGCCAGGTGATTGGAGGGATGATAGTAGCTGGTTAATAGTCTCTCTTCCCGTCGTACAATTAGGTAACGCGATGCCGACTTGGCAGCCTTTGTCTGAAACCTGTTCAGCAACATCAACGGAAACTTTCTTCTTGCCCTTTAAAGCTCCAGAAGTAGGACGCCGGGCCCGGCCGATCCCTTTTATATAAACACCGCGACGCGGAATGTCCCCGCGGGCCGCCCCGCTATCGGCGACAACCAGAACACCAGACGGGTCCTAATCTCAGCCAGGACTCCGCGACGTTTCGTTTTTCCCAACCTCTTGCCCACCCGCCCTATAGCAGAAATACTGCTACAGGGCGGCAGGGCTGCGCAAAATCACGTATATATACGTGCGCCATCCCACCCGCGCCGCTGTTGGCGGCTAAGGATGTCAATCACCGGGTCACAACCAGCAATTCCCGGCCAGCACTTGGCGATCATCCGGTAAAGATGACGGGGAGAGACCTGTGTGTGAACAACACAGATCTCTCCCCTGTCAGCAAGGACATGCTGCTTTGTATCTCTCTACAGCCGTATGTCTCCCTAGTAAAACAGCACACAGTTAACCCTTTGATCGCCCCAGATGTTAACCCCTTCCTGCCCAGTGCCATTAGTACAGTGTCCGTACTTGTATTAGCACTGATCACTGTATTAGTGTCCCCTTCAGCAAGGACATGCTGCTTTGTATCTCTCTGCACAGCAGCATGTCTCCCTAGTAAAACAGCACACAGTTAACCCTTTGATCACCCCAGATGTTAACCCCTTCCTGCCCAGTGCCATTAGTACAGTGTCCGTGCTTGTTATTAGCACTGATCACTGTACTAGTGTCACTGGGGATGTCAGTGGCAGTCAGTCCCCCTCTCCCCCGTGTGAGAATGCCCGCCGATGTTATGGGGGGGGGGGACCTCTGAGGTGACAAGGGGGGGACCTCTGAGGTGATAGGGGGAACCTCTGAGGTGACATGGAGGGTCCTCTGATGTTCTAGGGGGGGACCTCTGAGGTGACATGGAGGGTCCTCTGATGTTCTAGGGGGGGACCTCTGAGGTGCCATGGAGGGTCCTCTGATGTTATGGGGGGGACCTCTGAGGTGCCATGGAGGGTCCTCTGATGTTATGGGGGGACTTCTGAGGTGACAAGGAGACCTCTGATGGGAAGGGAAGGGGGACCTCTCTGATGGGAAGGGAAGGGGGACCTCTCTGATGTGAAGGGAAGGGGGACACCTCTGATGTGAAGGGAAGGGGGACACCTCTGATGTGAAGGGAAGGGGGACACCTCTGATGTGAAGGGAAGGGGGACACCTCTGATGTGAAGGGAAGGGGGACACCTCTGATGTGAAGGGAAGGGGGACCTCTCTGATGTGAAGGGAAGGGGGACCTCTCTGATGTGAAGGGAAGGGGGACCTCTCTGATGTGAAGGGAAGGGGGACCTCTCTGATGTGAAGGGAAGGGGGACCTCTCTGATGTGAAGGGAAGGGGGACCTCTCTGATGTGAAGGGAAGGGGGACCTCTCTGATGTGAAGGGAAGGGGGACCTCTCTGATGTAAAGGGAAGGGGGACACCTCAGATGTAAAGGGAAGGGGGACACCTCAGATGTGAAGGGAAGGGGGACACCTCTGATGTGAAGGGAAGGGGGACACCTCTGATGTGAAGGGAAGGGGGACCTCTGAGGGGAAGAGAAGGGGGACACCTCTGATGTGAAGGTAGTTTCATTAAGCTGGTTGTACATCCTAAGCTCAGATTTTCCATTGAGAAGTAACATTTGCATATCATTTTACACTGGGGAGGGAGGGGGGCCCTCAATCTTTTTCATATTTTTAAAGGGTGCCGCAACCACACAAAGGCTGAGAAACGCTGGTTTAATGATTTGATCTCTGCACATCCTGCAACACATATCTAAAGATTTCCCATTGGGTTTAATGGATAAATCAAGAGCCTGCACAGACAGAAGATGACTCAAGACACCCATAACAGCGCCATTTCCCGATATATAGGCGGTATTTGTCCATCAGATCCATGGTGGATCCCACACACCTGGACAGACAGACAGACGGACGGTCAATGCTGATAAATTAATCCGCTGGCGATCAGGCAGGAGAAATCAATATGCAGCATAAGAGGATTTGTTCTGTGGGTGATAATTCCGGAGTCACAGGAGGTCAGCGGGACATCTATATGTACTAATTAATTACACTAATTGGGTGACGGGTCTGCCAGCCACATACAGCCCTCATCTCTGATTACAAAGCCGATAAATTATTGACACTCATCTGGAATATTCTAGAACGGAGGAGAGCTCAGCGGATAAAACCAAGGATCAGACTCAAACAAATGAATCTTCAGCAATAGGGAAGAGCCTGGAAATGTTGAAGGACAAAATCAAAGTATCCAAATCCAGGAAGGAACAAATCCGGTCATATCCTGCAACATACCAGTCCTTACATGTAGCGGCTGCACTAGTTTTCTTGTATTAGGCTTTTTTTTTTTTTTGCTTTACTTTCACCCGTTGATCCTGCCAGTGACAACACTTACTTATCTTTTTGCATAGTTACCAACATTATGGTCCCAGATCCCGGGACACTGAATCCCACCAATGGTCTGCAATTTGTGTGGGTGGGTAAATCCAAATCACATCCACTTTACAGTGGGTCCCACACAGACCCTGCCTCTAAATAGGTGGACCACCCATCACATTCACTTTAATGGCTTGTCCAGCCCAGACCCCACCTCTAAATAGGTGACCACCCATCACATTCATTTTTATGGCTGGTCCAACCCAGACCCCGCCTCTAAATAGGTGGTGACCACCCATCACATTCACTTTTATGGCTGGTCCAACCCAAACCCCACCTCTAAATAGGTGGTGACCACCCATCACATTCACTTTTATGGCTGGTCCAACCCAAACCCCACCTCTAAATAGGTGGTGACCACCCATCACATTCACTTTTATGGCTGGTCCAACCCAAACCCCACCTCTAAATAGGTGGTGACCACCCATCACATTCACTTTTATGGCTGGTCCAACCCAGACCCCACCTCTAAATAGGTAGTGACCACCCATCACATTCATTTTAGTGGTTGGTCCCACACACACCCTGCCTCTAAATAGGTAGTGACCACCCATCACGTTCACTTTAATGGTTGGTCCAACCCAGGCCCTGCCTCTAAATAGGTGGTGACCACCTATCACATTCACTTTAATGGTTGGTCCAACCCAGACCCCGCCTCTATGCAGAATGAAGGGACCACACACTCATGGCCCTGGTCTCTGAAATTAAATTTCTTATTTTTTTTAATTTTGTGGGTTACAGTGCTTTGACAGTAATGCACATAAAGCTGATGCTGTGACCCCCGGGACACAGCCCTGGACAGAGCATCATCAACAGAACCAAGATGTGGGACTGTCCTGGGAAACCTGGGACATTTGGCATGTCTATTTCTATGAATCAGCTTTTATCAACCATATTAACCCCCGGGAGAGTCCCTGAAATAATTTTCAGGTTTTAGGGGGAATTAAGTAATTGGAGTTATTGGGAAGAATGTCCCTTACATTGGGGGTCAGTGGGAAGAATGCCCCTTACATTGGGGGTCAGTGCGAAGAATGTCCCTTACATTGGGGGTCAGTGCGAAGAATGTCCCTTACATTGGGGGTCAGTGCGAAGAATGTCCCTTACATTGGGGGTCAGTGCGAAGAATGCTCCTTACATTGGGGGTCAGTGGGAAGAATGCTCCTTACATTGGGGGTCAGTGCGAAGAATGCTCCTTACATTGGGGGTCAGTGGGAAGAATGTCCCTTACATTGGTGGTCAGTGGGAAGAATGTCCCTTACATTGGTGATCAGTGGGAAGAATGTCCCTTACATTGGAGGTCAGTGGGAAAAGTGTCCCTTACATTGGGGGTCAGTGGGAAGAATGTCCCTTACATTGGGGGTCAGAGGGAAGAATGTCCCTTACATTGGGGGGTCAGAGGGAAGAATGTCCCTTACATTGGGGGTCAGGGGAAGAATGTCCCTTACATTGGTGGTCAGCGGGAAGAATGTCCCTTACATTGGAGGTCAGTGGGAAAATGTCCCTTACATTGGGGGTCAGTGGGAAGAATGTCCCTTACATTGGGGGGTCAGAGGGAAGAATGTCCCTTACATTGGGGGGTCAGAGGGAAGAATGTCCCTTACATTGGGGGTCAGGGGAAGAATGTCCCTTACATTGGGGGTCAGCGGGAAGAATGTCCCTTACATTGGTGGTCAGCGGGAAGAATGTCCCTTACATTGGTGGTCAGCGGGAAGAATGTCCCTTACATTGGGGGTCAGCGGGAAGAATGTCCCTTACATTGGGGGTCAGCGGGAAGAATGTCCCTTACATTGGGGTCAGCGGGAAGAATGTCCCTTACATTGGGGTCAGTGGGAAGAATGTCCCTTACATTGGCGGTCAGTGGGAAGAATGTCCCTTACATTGGAGGTCAGTGGGAAGAATGTCCCTTACATTGGGGATCAGTGGGAAGAATTTCCCTTACATTGGTGATCAGTGGGAAGAATGTCCCTTACATTGGGGATCAGTGGGAAGAATGTCCCTTACATTGGTGATCAGTGGGAAGAATGTCCCTTACATTGGGGATCAGTGGGAAGAATGTCCCTTACATTGGGGATCAGTGGGAAGAATGTCCCTTACATTGGGGATCAGTGGGAAGAATGTCCCTTACATTGGGGGTCAGTGGGAAGAATGTCCCTTACATTGGGGATCAGTGGGAAGAATGTCCCTTACATTGGGGATCAGTGGGAAGAATGCCCCTTACATTGGGGATCAGTGGGAAGAATGCTCTTTCTGGTCCTGGTTTCCCTTAAAGACAGCTACAAAAGTCATTGGTGTCATGGCACTGGTTTTGCCAAATGGCATTGGCCCCAGGAATTATGCAGACACAAATCAGATGGGAGGACAATCAGGCACAACTCAGGGAACCCCTAGCAACCTCTGGAGGAACCCCGATTGAAGTCAAACCTGGGTGACCACCATGGTCCCAACCATAGCAGCTATTTTCAGACACATCTTCCCCTGTTCATCTCCAGTATACAGGGTGGGGGGAATTCGTAGCTTTCAGTTCAGCTCACAGGAAAGACACGGAATTTCAGGCAAACTATTTTCTAAAAAGGTTCTTCGATTAAAAAAGAAAAATGATAGCAGCCACCACATCTAATGACTAGCAATCTGCAACATCTGAACATTTTTGTTCTTGGGGTTGGATACACTTTAAAGCCAAATTTCTGATCACCCATCCATCACCCACCAGTGTTGGGCCTGGCTCTCTGTTGCACCCGGCAGACAGGTACACTTTGGACCCAAGTCATCTCCAGCATGTAATTGGTGCGGTTCGTTCCAATGGGAATTATCCGGCTCTCTCTCCGGATTGCCTCATGGACATGACATTTCATTTGTGTTTGTCTAAGGATTAGTGCGCAGTCCTTTGCACTTTGCAGTGTCAGGCCCGGGATACAGTAGTCAGTGTAAACAGGAGAGGAGCCCGGGTCATTGGCCACACTCTCCCAGCATGCACCATGGCGAGCGGTCGGTTCAATCACAGACCACGACGTTTACGGCTACCCACAGACATAAGACCACGATTGTATGCTTGGAGGTCAAATACGTGGCCATAGAGCTCAATGTAAAAATGATTGCTCCATCTCCTCTGAGAAAACGGCACAATCACAAGCCACATACAGTATCGCGTCCAATACCTAAGTGGCGCTTTATGGACAGGAAACGCACATGTGTACAGTGTGCCATCATGTATCCAGATATGGGGAAACAGACATGCAGAAAGATTTAAACATTGCAGGAGATTGACTAAATAAAACTGGGCACTCAGAATCTGGAGCAGCTGTACATGGCGGCCAATCAGCTTCTAACTTCAGTTTGTTCAATGAAGCTTTGACAATAAAACCTGGAAGCTGATTGGTTACTATGCAGAGCTGCACCAGATTTTGTACTCTCCAGTTTTAGGCCTGGTTCACATGCAGGTTGTGGCTGGCTCATTTTTCTCAGTGCGGATTATTTCCACACGCGTTTTTGATGCATTTTTAGTGCGTTTTGTATATTGATTGATTTGCATTAAAGTTGTAGCATCTACAAACTACAGTATATATACCAAAATGTTTATTTTTTTATACTACTAATGGCGGCGATCAGCGACTTATAATGGGGCTGTGATAGTGTGGCGGGCAATCTGACTAACTGCCATCACCAGTGACACTAATACAGTGATCAGTGCCAATATTCTTCTACACTGTCACTGTACTAATGATACTGGCTGGGGTTGACATCTAGGGTGATCAAGGGGTTAAATGTGTGCCTAACAACAAGTAATGTGTTCTGCTTTTCACTAATGATCTCGGTTTCTCATTCCTGCTCTGCAGGGATGAGAAACATGAGATCGTTCTCTCTGTACAGCGCTCTGTGTTGAATGTCAACACAGAGCTCTGGGATGTGATTGGACACAGCCGATCAGTGGGTCCCAGCCGTAAATCATTGGCCTGGAAGTGCTGACAGATTTCCATTGTGTATATTCACAGCAGGTGCCAGCAGGGGGGGGGGGGGATCATGTGTGCGCTCATTCCGGGGGTAAGCAGTGATGTACGGGTATGTCACTTTGCCTACAGCAGCCGCTCATCCACAGTACATTGAGGTCGGGAAGTGGTTTAAAACAACGGGCCTAGAATTATTGAGATCACTGTGGGTGAGTGGTAGTAACATGTGTAGCGCAATTGACGTATCATGAATATATATATATATATATATATATAGAGAGAGAGAGAGAGGAGAGAGAGAGAGAGGGGGGGATGAGGGGGGGAGAGAGAGAGGGGGGGGGGAGAGGGGGGGAGAGGGGGAGGGGAGGGGGAGGGAGGGGGAGGGGGAGAGGGAGAGGAGAGAGGGGGGGGGGGGAGAGAGAGGGGGGGGGGGGGGGGGAGAGAGAGGGGGGGAGGGAGAGGGGGGGGGGGGAGAGAGGGGGGAGAGGTCGGAGAGGAGGGGGGGAGAGGAGAGGGGGGGGGAGAGAGAGGGGGGGGAGAGAGGGGGGGGGAGAGTGAGGGGGGGGAGTGAGAGGGGGGGAGAGAGGGGAGGGGGGAGGGAAGGAGAGAGGGGGGGAGAGAGAGGGGGGAGAGGAGGGGGGAGGAGGGGGGGGGGGGGGGGAGGGGGGAGGGGGGGGGGGGGGGAGGGGAGAGAGGGGGAGGGGGGAGGGAGGGGGGGGGGGAGGGGAGGGGGAGGGGGGAGAGGGGGAGGGGAGGGGGAGGGAGAGGAGAGGGGGGAGGGAGGGGAGAGAGAGGAGGGGGGGAGAGGGGGGGAGAGGGAGAGAGAGGGAGGAGAGAGGGAGAGAGGGGAGAGGGAGGAGGGGGAGGGGGGAGGAGGAGGAGGAGGGAGGGGGGGAGAGAGGGAGGGGGGGAGAGGGGGGGAGAGAGAGGGGGGGAGGGGGGGAGGTGAGGGGGGGGGGGGGAGGAGGGAGAAGGGGGGGAGAGGAGGGGGGAGAGGGAGGGGGGGAGGGGGGGAGGGGGGGGGAGGGGAGAGAGGAGGGGGGAGGGAACGAGAGAGGGGGGAGAGAGGGGGGGGGAGAGAGAGGGGGAGAGGGGGAGAGGGAGAGGGGGAGAGAGGGGGGAGAGGAGGGAGGGGAGAAGAGGAGGGGGAGAGGGGGGGAGAGGGAGAGGGGAGGAGGGGAGAGAGGGGAGGGAGAGAGGGGGGAGAGAGGGGGGGAGAGAGGGGGGGAGGAGGAGGGGGGGGGGAGAGAGAGGGGGGGAGAGGGGGGGGGAGAGAGGGGGGGAGGAGGAGGGGGAGAGGGGGAGGGAGAGAGGGGAGAGAGAGGGGGGGAGAGAGGGGGGGGGAGAGAGGGGGGGGAGGAGAGAGGAGGGGGATGGAGAGGGGGGGGAGAGGCGGGAGAGAGAGGGGGAGAGAGAGAGGGGGAGAGGGGGGGAGGGGAGAGAGAGGGAGAGAGAGGGGAGAGAAGAGGGGGGAGAGAGAGGGAGAGGGGGGGAGAGGGGGAGAGGGAGAGGAGAGAGGGGGGGAGAGAGAGAGGGGGGGGGAGGGGGAGGGGGGAGAGAGAGAGAGGGGGGAGGAGAGAGGGAGGGGGAGGGAGGGAGGAGGAGAGAGGGAGGGGGGAGGGGGGGGAGGGGGAGAGAGGGGGGGCTGAGAGAGGGAGGAGGGGGGAGAGGAGGGGGAGAGGAGGGAGAGAGGGGGGAGAGAGAGAGGGGGAGAGGGGGGGGAGGAGAGGGGGGAGAGGGAGGGGGGGGAGAGAGAGAGGGGGAGAGAGAGAGAGGGGAGAGAGAGGGGGGAGAGAGGGGGGGAGGGGGGAGGAGAGGGGGAGAGAGAGGGGGAGGGGGGAGAGGGAGAGAGGGGAGAGAGGGGGGGAGAGAGGGGGGGAGGGGGGAGAGAGGGAGAGGGGGAGAGGGAGGAGAGAGGGAGAGGGGGAGGAGGGGGGAGAGGGGAGGGAGGGGGAGGGGGGGAGGAGAGAGAGGGGAGGGGGAGGGGAGAGAGGGGGGAGAGAGGGGAGGGGGGAGGGGAGAGGGGAGAGAGGGGGGGGAGAGAGAGGAGGGGGAGGAGGGAGGGGGGAGAGGGAGGGGGGGAGAGAGGGGGAGAGGGGGAGAGAGGGGGAGAGGGAGAGGGGGAGGGAGGAGGGGGGACAGAGGGGGGAGAGAGGGAGGGGGAGAGGGGGGGAGAGAGAGGGGGGGAGAGAGGGGGGAGAGAGGGAGGGAGAGGGGGAGGGGAGGGAGAGAGAGGGGAGAGGGGGAGGGGGAGAGATGAGGGGGGGGAGAGGGGGAGAGGAGGGGGCGAGGAGGGGGGAGAGGGGAGAGAGGGGGAGGAGGGGGGGAGAGGGGGAGAGGAGGGAGGAGGAGGGGGGGAGAGGGGGGAGAGGGGGGGAGAGGGGGAGGAGGGGAGAGAGGGGGAGAGAGAGGAGAGAGAGAGGGGGAGAGGAGAGAGGGGGAGGGAGAGGGGGAGGGAGAGAAGGGGGGAGAGGAGAGAGAGGTGAGGGGGGAGGAGAGGGAGGAGGAGGGGGGGAGAGAGGAGAGAGAGAGAGAGAGAGGGGGGGAGAGAGGGGGGGGAGGGAGAGGGAGAGAGGGGGGGGGGAGAGAGGAGAGGGGGGGGGGGAGGGAGGGAGAGGGGGGGAGGGAGAGGGGTGAGAGGGAGGGGGGGGGAGGGAGGGAGAGGGGGAGGAGGGGGAGGGGAGAGGAGGGGGAGGGCAGGGAGAGAGAGAGGGGGGAGGGGGAGAGAGAGGGAGAGATGGAGAGGGGGAGGGAGGAGAGGGAGAGATGGGGGGGGGGAGATGGAGAGAGAGGGAGAGAAGGGGGGAGGGGAGAGGGGGGAGAGCAGAGAGGGGAGGGGGGAGAGAGAGGGAAAAGAGGGGGGCGGAGAGAGAGGGGGGGAGAGAGAGAGGGGGGGGAGAGAGAAGAGGGGAGAGGGAGGGGAGAGAGCAGGGAGGGAGGGGAGAGGGAGGGGGAGGGAGAGAGGAGATGAGGGGGGGAGAGAGAGAGGGAGAGAGAGAGGGGAGAGGGGGGAGAGAGGGAGGAGGAGGAGGAGAGAGAGAGGGGGGAGAGAGAGGGGGAGGAGAGGGGAGGGGGAGAGAGGGGGAGAGGAGAGGGGGGAGGGAGGAGAGGGGGGAGAGGGGGGATGGGAGAGGAAGGAGAGGAGAAGAGAGGGGGGGGAGAGGGGGGAGAGGAGGGGGAG